TCCTATAATGTCTCATTGTCTTTAAAAATTGTTTATACTATAACATATATTAAAATCCAGTGAGACACAGCATGATAAAACCAATGGAAACAGAAGAACAAAAACATGGTAAGACTTCGAAGCAAGATGATATTAAATCAGCAATGGCTGCCATAATGTCTTGTTATCTTCAAGTAGCTGTTCATGTCATCACAAAAAATAAAATCAAACAACACAGAATAAAACCATTGCAACCAATGAATGAAAACAATATAAGACTTGAAAGCAATATAATGGGAAATCATAATTACTATAAAATCTTATGCATTCTTACCATTTCTTATACTCTGGAGACTATACGGTATTTTCACATGTGAATTTGATTTATTTCACTTATTGGTAAGGTCTCAAGTTGCATCCATTTATATATAAATATCTCAGTGTGACCATTCTTTATAGCTGAATAGTACTCCACTGTATAAAATACCAATCTTTTTAAAGCGTTACTCAATTGATGGGCACTTAGATTATTTCTAGGATCTGGCTATTACAAATTGTGCTGCTTTAAACATGAGTGCAAATATATCACTGTGGTATGATATTTACAGTTCTTCTGGGAACATGCCCAGAAGTGGAAGAGCTGGGTCAAATGGGATTTTCAGTCCCAGATTTTTGAGAAATCTCCAGACTGACCTCCACAGTGGTTGCACCAGGCTACACTCCCACTAACAGTGCTGAAGAATTTCTTTTTCCCTGCAGCCTCTCCAGCATTTGTTCTGGTAGTTTTCTTTATCCTGGCCATTCTTGAGTGAGATAGAATCTCAGAATGATTTTAAATTGCATTTCTCTAATGACTAATGATGATGAACATTTTTTCATGTATTTATTTGCCATTTGTGTTTCTTCGTCTGAGAACTGTTTATTTATCTCTGATGCACATTTTTGGAATGGGCCTTTGAATTTTGGGGGTCTGATTTTTTTTTTTAATTCTTTATATGTTCTATACAGAAATATTTTGTCTGAGGGACAATTCACTAAGATTTTTCCCAATTTATGGGTTTTCTTTTCACTATGCTGGAGATTTCTTTCAACATGAAGAAACTCTTTAGTAAAACATGATCCCAGTTATTGATTCTGGGAAGTATTTCCCATGAAGTTTGACTCTATTTCATGAATTTTTTACCCATGCCTATGTCTTCAAGATTTTTACCTATTTTGTCTTCAAACAGATTTATTATTTCTGTTTTAATATTCATATCTTTGATCCATTAGACTTTGGTTTACTACGTGGTGTTAGGCATGGGTCTATTTTTAGTTTTTGGCATAAGGAGAGTCAGTTTTTCCAGAACCATTTATTAAAGAAATTATCTTTATTACATTGAATGTGTTTGGCTGCTCTATCCAAGATAAGGTGGCTGAGTGTGTTTGTAATTGTAGTTGTAGCTTCTCATCTATTCCATTGATCTTCAGGTCTATTTTTATTCCAGTACCATGTTGATTTTATTACAGTAGCTTTTTAGTATAACTTAAAATCAGGAATTGTGATGCCTCCTGACTTGCCTTTGTGGCTTAGATTTGCCTTTGCTATTCTAGGTTTCATCTCACTCCAGATAAATTTTAGGAGTGATTTCTCTAGATCTCTGAAGTATGCTAATGGTATTTTATTGGAATTGCATTAAACCTATATAATAGTTATGAGAGAATGGCTATTTTCACAATATTTATTCTTCTTATCCATGAACAAGCGATGTCTTTCCATTTTCTGAGGTCCTCTTTGATTTCTTTTTTCAGGGTATATTAATTTTCCCTGAATAGACCTTTTGCTTCTTTTGTTAGATTGATTCCTAAGTATTTCGTTTTTTTGGATGTTATTGTGAAGGGTGTGGCTTCTCTTATTTCTCTCTCAGTAATTTTGTTGCTAGTGTTTAGGAATGTTATTGATTTTTGAGTGACTGTATCCAGCTGCATTACTGAATTTATTTATTATGTCTAGGAATCTTTCAATAGAGTTTTGAGGGTATTCTATGTAGAGTACCATGTCATCTGCAAATAATGATTATTTACCTTCTTTTTTTCCCATCCTTAGACCTTTCATCTCTCTCTTTTGTCTAATTGCTCTAGCTATTATTTCCAGTGCTATGTTGAATAGGAGTGGTGATAATGTACACCCTTTTCTTGTGCCTGATTTTAGGGTAAATGTTTTCAGTTTTGATCATTTAGTATGATACTGGCTGTTGGTTTGTCATAGATGGCTTTTATCATATTGAGGTAAAGACCATCTGTCCAATTCTCTGTAGGTTCTTTTCATGAAAATATGTTAGGCCTTATCAAAATCTTTTTATGTATGTATAGAAATGTTATTGCATTTCCATGTGTTTGTGAGGCTTTTGCAGTTTCTTTTATCATTAATTTCTAATTTCATGGCATTATGATCCGATAACATGCATTGGATAATTTCAATTCTTTTGCAATTACTTAAGTATGTTCTGTAGTCTATTAGATGGTCTGTTTTAGAGAATGTCCCATGTGCTGCTGAGAACAATGTATATTCTGATGTTGTTGGATGGAACACTATGTATACATCTATCAAGTCCATTTGTTCAAAGGTGTGATTCAGTTCTGCTATTTCTTTGCTGAAATAACAGTGAAGGAAAGGATCTGTCTGATCTGTTCCTATGTGTCAACAGCATGTTAAAGTCTCTGGTTATAATTGTGTTATTGCTTATTTGATTTTTCATTTCTGTTAATATTTGTTTTGTATAGCTGGGTGCTCCTGAATTTGGTGCATATATATTTAAGATTGTTACCTCTTCCTCTTGAAATTTTCCCTTAACTAGTATGTAGTAACCTTTTTTATCTCTTTGGATCATTCTTGGTTTGAAGTTCCCATTGTCTGCAACCAGAACAGCTACTCCTGCTTTGTTTGTTTGTTTGTTTGTTTCCTGTTGCATGGAACATTGTTTTCCATTCTATGAGTTCCCTTTTGGTTTAGATAGGTTTCTTGTAAACAGTATATGGTTGGATGTTTTTTCTTGATCCATTCTGCGAGTATGTTTCTTTTAATTGAGGTCATTTAAATTCAAGGTTAAAATTGTTATATATTGGTGTATTTTTGACATTTATCTTTCTACTCTTGCTTCTTTACCTTTCTACTGTGTTTAACTGTGTGCCTTATTTGGTGTTTTTTTCATACGTCTATCTAGAAATTTTTCAATATTCTTTTTAGGGTTTTTTGGTGATCATGAAGTTCTTCAGCTACTCTTTGCTATGGAAGTATCTTATTTATCCATCCATTTTGAAGGGTACCTCACTCTGGGATGGAAGTCATTTTCCTTTAGGATCTGAAATACTTCACTCCATGCTCTTCTTGACTTCATTGTTTGTGCTGAGAAGTATGTCATGGCTCTGAGAGGCTTTCCTTTACAGATAATCTGCCTCTTCTTTCTAGCAGCTTCTGTTAATCTCTTCTTATGTTGGATTTCTGGAATGCTGATTATTATATGTCTGGGTGTACTTTTATTATTTTGTTTATAGTTATTTCGAGTTCTACACACTTCACTGATCTCTATGTCAGTTTCCATTTTAATGTTTGGGAAATTTTCAGCTACTACTTCTGTAAATAGCCTCTTGATCCTATTTATGTTGTCAAATTCCTTTTTGTTTTTACCTATCAATCTTATGTTGTTTTTCTTTGCATCATATTGCAGCTGTTAAATGGTTATTTTCTGGTTCCTTGTTTTGTTTTTTTTTTAATCTTTCCTTTCCTGTTCACTAAAGGAAATCTTGTATTCAAGGTCTGAAATTCTACCTTCACTTTTGCTGAATTGGTTTTGCCAATTTTCAATGGGCTTTTGGATTTCCTGGATATCACCTTCAATTTGCTTCATTCATTGTGTTTGTTTCTTATATAGTTCATTCAGGGTTGCCATCTTTTTACATTGTTCCTCTAATTATTAACTATGTCTTCTTTAGATGTGTTCAGCATTTCTTTCATTACATTTACCATTTCTTCTTTTACCTGGGAGATTATTTCCAATTTGAGTTTTTTCATCACTTCCCATATTTCTTTCTTTATTTCAGTTGTTATCATTTCAGGCATTTCAGGTGTATGGCTTATATTTTCTTTATTTACTTGACTCCTGGTCTTGATTGGGATGGGTTGGAGGTTTGAGAGTACATTTTGGTCTTTCATTTTGTCATTTTCCTACATTATGGGTTTCAAGTGATTTTGGCAAGCATCATACAGGCATGCCGGAAATCACCTCCCATGTCCTCGACCCCTGGGACTGAATAGAGTTTGGTGGACATGGCCCAGTCAGGCCTGAGGGACCTCCCATGCCTCTTCTGGTTGTCTAGGATGCTGGGCAGCATCCTAACAGCTTGGGGCAATAGCCCAAAGCTTTCCCTGAGCTCAAGTGCATGGGAAATCATCTTGCTTGCCCTCAACTCCCTGGGCTCAATGGAGCTGGCTAGGCATAGCCCAGTGAGGCCCATGGACCCTCCAGTGCCTCATCCTCAACCTATTTATTTTGGAACCCTAAAGCTTTGACTACAGTTTTTGCCAGTATTCATGAACCTGATGTTATTCTGCCCATCACTACACACAATTCTTTAGAAAACTTAATTGATTACAATTCTTAATAAATCATGCAACTACTAAGGATAAAATATTAATAGTTCACCTGGGCATTCTGAAAAGATAATGGCCACAGGTTAGTTAAAGTCTAGTATGTGAACTGAAATGACAAAGACATAGTTTTGGTAAAGAGGAAGAGGCCTATTATACCATGCAGTGTGCAGTGCTAGGAAATATTTTGAAGCTCAGGGCTCTTGGTCCAGACCCTAACCCCAGCCCTATCTTCTCTATCCCAGATCCCCTGCTAGAGTAGGCCCTGAGAAACCCAACATCTACATTGCTTACACACTCAGAACTTTAAAGGTTTCAATTATGCAGTTGAAACATGGGAAGACCCCAGAAGCACTGGGTTCCTGCAAATCACCCTCTACGTCTTTCTCCTTAGTTGCTGTACGAGATGTGAAGAATGAATTTTAACCAGCCTGGAAACTCAGGTACATCCATGCTTTCAACAAAATTTCCTTCCTTGAAAGGAATATAGATCAGTTGATTCTTTTATGACAGTTTCAAGGTCTGTCAGTCAACAACTGCACTGGGTTTTTATTGTTAACAGTGTACTTCAAGGATAGATGGATAAAAATGTTTCTGTTGGACACAGCAATGCTAGATTTGCCATGAGCTTGGTTGGTGGTACACTGGTGACTCTGCTGTACTAGGTGTTATTAACTCACAAGTAACTCATTCTAGAAGGTATCCAAGAGGATAGATGATCTCCAAAAGAAGTTTGCTCACTGCCTCTGGCTTGAGATCAACCTGAGGCATGTGCAGCACTGTGCCATGGACCGGAGGCTCTTGCCCTCTGAGTCCTGGTGCTTGGCTGACGTTGAGACAGGAACATGATGAGGCAATGACAAGGTCAAATAGATGCAGGGGTCTGAAGTCCAGACCCTGTGTATTATGCACAGCATCTTCCTTTCACCTGCTCAGCCAGTGTGATTCTTGCTGGGGAGACTGTGAGTGGGAGGTCACCGATTCTGGGACATGTTTGTATTTTGTTTTCATCTTTGATTTTCATAAAGTATTAACTGAGAAATTTTATACCCAGAATATGTTTGTTGTTATGTTTATTGGTGTAGGAACCAAAATTTCATGATAGATCATAAATATTAAAAGTCACTTTGGAACCCAGTATGGACTTCAGTACTTTGAACTCAGAGGCAATTGCCCTGCCTCAGCCTATCAAATACTAGAATTGTGCACTGTCGTGACCAACTGAAAAAAAAAAAAAAAAACTGTTAAAGCACTTAATAGTCTCCATACAATCTCCTGGTCTTTTCAGGTCCTATGATTGTGCTGTGGTGGTGCTATGGCTTGCAGCTTGGATTCAGTCATGAGGCCATGTGGTATCTATGTACCAATCAGGGCCTATGCTGAGCACAGAAACCTTCCCTGGTCACCATGGAGACACAGCTTCTCATCTCCACCTCTCTGTGGGCAGTGCTTGATGCAGAAGCAGGGAGAGCCAGTGCTTAGAAGGACACAGAGGAGCTAATGAGTGACTTCAGCTGGGCTTCCAGTACCACGACTGGACTTTTCATTACATTGTGGTAGCAGAAGCAGCTCTTGATGTGCACATGTTGATTTATGGTACTTGATGTGCCATAAATAAAGAAAACAATGATTCAGAACATAGGCCAATGGCACACACACACACACACACACACACATACAAAATAAAGTTCTTCCTCACCATTCTCTAACATTTGGGCTTTACAGCCATGACATCTCCAATTTCTCCTGTGTGATGTTCTTCAATTTATACTCCCCTGTGCAGAACATGAGATTGTCCATCAAGTTGTCCATCAGCTTGTTGTCACTGTGATAAGTGCCTGAGAAAATCAAGTGAAGATAAGAAACTGTGGATTTTGGCTCATGGGTCAGAAGTGTCAGTCCATGGTCACTTGACAGCCTCACTTTGATACTATGGAGTTGACCAATATCAGAAGAGGAGTATAAGGGAGAGCATAGGATGAGTATGTTTAAGTCAAGGGGGATAACTGTGAGGGAAAGTAACGGGAATGTGTCATTTATTATAATGTTCTAAAATTTAAGTATTTAACATATTTTGGATTATGTTCCTTATAGATCGGTCATATGATCATTTTTCAAGAAGATTTAATTACACATATCTTGAAATATCATGCATTGAATACATACACAAGAAATAAAGTACTCAGAAAAGGTCAAATTACAAGGAATATAATATTAATAGTTGAGATTAACTGTGTAGCAAAAGATAGTCATGTTGAAATCTGAGGATCATCAGGCCACATGAACGCTACTGCCCTAGCTTCCACAGTAAGTACTGGAATCACATGTGCAGATTATCTTACAGAAATTAATAGATGGATGAATAAGAATGTTAATAAACTAGAAAATAGGAAAGATTTACCACTGCTGGTTATTATTATGATTGTTTCAATCATTAAACACAATTCAAGCCATTCAAAAAGAGAGGAAAGAGGAAAGACAAAGGATGAAAGGAAGAAAGAAAAGTAGCCATAAAACAAACTCTCATGCAGGTTTCAAAACAAAGTTTGTGTTCAGTGTTTTGCATAACCAGGAGAGTGATGGAGAATACCAGGATACACATGAAAATGGAAATAGCATACGTAATAAGGGAAATTGTAAGAATTAGTCTAGAAGTTGTGCTCATATATATATAAACAATAAAATTACATATAATCTCAGCCAAAATGCTGAAAAGTGATAAACAAAACTGTAAATGCACCAGTTTTCATAAGCTAACATTTACTGTAATAGCAATGAAAACCAGCACTAGAGGGAATCAAATTAACACCAGGAAGAAGAATTAGAGGAATTGTGTCTGTTTAGAAAACCAAAACACCATAAGTTAATTTCACGTGCATAAGAAGAAAGTTTGTTCTTGGCTGTTGTACTGCCTCTTATAGGATATAAAATGTACATCTTTCTAGGAATCCACTGATATGAGTCTCATCTGATGTTAGTAGCAGGGAAACAATTTCTAAACATAGCTATGCACCTGAGTGTGAGGACAAATCCAAGAATCAGTCAAAATATCAGCAAGTTACTGTTCAGAAACACAAGGTAGTCACACTAAGGCAGAAACATTTAAACTGAGCAGGAACCACAGCAGCTGTCGGTAAAGTAAGAGGCTGCTATGAGCAAAATCATGACAAATAATCAGGGAGGTTTTTGTTTCATATTGGATCCATGTGGGACACCCTCTGTAATACTGGTACAGTGATAAATGTCAACATCCTCAGACTGCAGGCTGCTAATGCTGAGAGTGAAGTCTTTTGCTGAGTCACTGCCAATGAACCAGACTGAGACACCAGTCGAACACATCATAGATGAGGATCCTGGGAGCCTGCCCAGTTTTTTGCTGGAACCAGACTAAGGAGATGCTAAACTCTCACTGGCCCAGCAAGTGACAGTGACTGTTTCTCCTGGAGACACAGCCAGGGAGGCTGGAGTTTGGGTCATCAGGCTTCCGCCAGTGGAATCTGAGACTGAAAAATAAAATAGAAAAATCTTCCATGTAATCTAAGTCATACCAATAGTCTTCCCAATTTAGCTAAGCTGACTGCTCTACTTGGAACTTGAATTATGATGTGTATTGAACATACAATGTACTACTGAACAAAGAAGCTAGCACTAAGCGTTTTCACAGATTGCAAAAAATATTACAAGTAACCCCCACCTTTGAACCAGAATAACAGGAGATAGAGGAGCCCAGCCAGGCTCCCACCTAGGTCCTCCCTGGTGAAGATCTCCCCAGAGCTCTGGCTCAGACAATGATGTGGGCTCTGAACATCAGGGGGTGTTGAGAGGAGCATGCACAGCAGCATGGGTGAGATGAGCTGAACTTGTAGCTGCAGAAACACTGTGCTCTTCTTTTCCTCACTTGAGCAAGCCAGGTCCAGATGGTCAGGAGAGAAGGCCCTGGGAACAGCCACAGAATAGTATTTCCACTCTGTAGTTAGGGAACATGATCCTGGTGTCTTCCTGTCTTACCAAATCTCTAACCTCAACCACATGGTCTTCAATACAATCCTACTAAGTACAAGATTAAGCCTACACTGATTCTCTCCATCTCAAGTATGATTCATAGTCTCCCTTGGTGCATAATTATGTCTGGTTGAAATAAGGTTTTGTATGAAACTTGTCTTCCAGATACTCTTTTCCTTTGCAGTTTTGCACTCTTTTCCAAAGGCTAATAATGCAGCCTTACCCTTGTGGGAATTGACCAAGGGCGACACACACTTAGGCTCAGTGGTGTAGGTCAGTGGACAACCACAGTTTCACAGACGAGCTGCACTGCATCTCTCCCTCTTCAGCACACTGATTCCATTTCACTGAAATCAGAAATAGAACTTGCTGCGCAGGCCAACAACTATTCCTTGGATGATTCTCTGCATTGTTCAGTTACAACACATCAATCAAAACAAACTTGACTCTTTCACTTGAACAGTCTTGGAAAACTCTCTTTTCACTCCTAATGAATTCTCTAAATACATCACATTCACCAACAAAATATTTCATCTTTCAGAATGGGTAAGTTGGGATGTCAACTTTAATAATTTTTATGGTGAAGGTGCTAGGAAATACAAGACAAAGAAAAGTAATAAAATTCACAAGTTAAAAGACAGAAGGCATAGCCTCACTTGCTTCCAATAACCTCTCTTTAAATAATTCCTATGACGGCACCAAAAATTAGTAGAATAGTAATTTCATTAAAGTCTCTGGGTTCACTGTCAATATGTTCACTATGTCTTGTAAATTAAAAAATATTTAGGGAAATGGAGACATTTTCCATTTCCATTAGGTTAAAAACTTGATATTATTAACATTTAAAGTTTTCAAAAGGTACATATATTTACACAAATGTATTTCTTGCAATGAAACCAAACAATCTACAAATGATTTATTTAAATGGATGAGCAGTCTGTACAATATACAAGAAAAATCAAAGGGCCTAAAATAATCACAAAGTTTTTAAACAGTATAAATTGTATATGAGTGAACTTCTATAGTAACTTTTTTTGATTTCCTATTAACTTGCTTTGAAGTCCTGTAATACTCCCACTATCTTGTTTTGACTGATTAGACTCTGTTCCATGCTGCATGATAGTATCAAGTTTGAGGGTATAGGCAACTAATTTGAAGGCAATAAGATTCACTAAGATGCCCATTCTGGTTTGACTATTGTCTCCTTTGGAAGTCCTGTAATGTGTACAATGCTTAAGTTTTATTGGTCTTGTTCTCTACTGCTTTGTTCAACTTTATAATACCAAATGATATAGACAATTCTTTTTACGGAAACAAGAGGCATTATGGTAACCATTGTTGATAACCTTGTACTCTGTTTTTACATCATGTGCTATGTCTATCCTTGGTTTTGACTGACAGCTTTGTTTTGCCATATTTGACTTTATTCTCTCCCCCCCCCAAAAAAGTAATAAGAACTAAGGAGTAATAAAACCCAAAATGTGTAAATTTTGTTGTAAAAAAAATAGAAGGAAAAAAGTGTTCTAAAAGATACAACAGCAAGTGTCTTTAGGGGTGTTAAATAGCTGACCATATTAATGTTTTTGGTTGGATCATTGAACACAGCTGTTTGCAGTCTCACTGTTTGAATGTCCACTTTGTATGCTTTGATACTGTGACTTGAGCAACTATCTCTAAGATGATAATACGTAATCTATTAACTGGTGATTTCTTACTATTTTTTTTTTGTAGGTCTGTATTACTTGTACCCTTACACCGCTTTGTTTTGTTTTTTCTCTTTTTCCTTTAAATAAAATTTAAAAAAAAGAAAGAAATGGCTATAAAGCTTCACAGTAAAACATTAGCCTTGAATGCACAAACTCCTGAGTTTTATCTTTAGCATTGCAAAACTGGGTAGGGAATTTAAAAAGATCTTCAGTAAGACAGTGAATGGCATCATAGGAATGAAGGTAAATAAACTGAATAAGCAAAAATGTAGAGTCTAGAAAAAATATCCACATATAGCCATTTCTCCAAAGATAGTAAAGTTAATTGTAGATTTATGTGCCACTATTTTCAATACATGGTGAGACACTATAAGAGATGCAAAAAAAATTAAGTTCATGTCAGAAAAAAATTGAGCCATATGGAATCAGAATAAAAATATGAATTAAAGGAATACGTGGTCAACAGGTGTGAGTGCAGGAGATTCAGGAGAAAGTGCAAGAGTCTAACTTAAGCTGGAAAAGAAGGTAAACACATAACGAACACAAATGCACACTCACACAATCACAGGAGAGAAATATTAAAAAGATAGACTGCACTGAAAGTGGCCAAAGAAATTACAGAAGACACAAACAAATGGAAGGACGCCACATGGTCCTGGATTGGAGGGATTAATGCTGCTAAAATGTTCACACCATCCAAAGTGGATTATAGATTCCATGTAATTCAAAATTCCACTGGGAAAATTCCATTGGAATAACAAATTATCCGAATAAGCAACACATTTTCCTGCTGTTCTTTTTAAACAATTTCCTCTTCACCCCATGGACTTTTCAAACTCGAGTCTACCTGTTGTCACTACATATTAGATTTGTGCTTCTCTAGAATTTCATACAAAAAGAAATCACACAGCATTGATTCCCTACTTGCTTGCTACTTTTACACCACATAGTTGCTTGTTAGTTCAATTCATGTTAATCGTGTATCAATAATCGGCTTCTCTTCATTTCTGAACCTGTTTAACAGATGGAGATATCATAACATATTGCTTCATGTGCTGATGATGGTTGAGGTAGTTTTCCTGTCAGGCTGTTATGAATAAAGCTGGTTTGAATAGTTTTAGGCAAGATATTGAGAAACTAGGTGTTTCCAAGAGCATTTATCAAAGGCTTGAAATCTCTACTGTTGGATGTGACACTATGGAAATAGGTTTTTAAGACTCTGCCAAGCTCTTCTCCTAGGAAGTCATGTGTTCATCACTTCCACCAGGAATTGATGTGCATTTTAGATGTTCATATTACTTAATTTTAAATTTTTTTAATTGATACCCAATGGTAAGTAGATGAGGCAGAGATCATGAAAACATTCATTATTTAACATTTTCTATTCTTGGAATATTTTAGAAGTCTGAGAGCTAATCTTAATTAATACAGATTTCTGGACAGGCAAAAAAATAATAAAACATTGGCGAGTAGGGATTCATGAAAACACCTGTCAATGGACTGAAGGAGGGAGTGGGTTACAGAGAGGGAATGCTTGCTACTTTGGAGTCTGATATGTTTTTTCTGTAAAAAAAAAATAGTATTTCATTTAAAGATTGTGTCCCTAAAATGGCTACAACCTCTTCTGCTGTTGCTATATTTACTGAAAAACTAGAAAACATCAAGTGATCCTGTGTTAACCATGCCACACCCTACTGACTTCCTCAGAATTAAGTCTACTGTTCACCCAGGGCTGAAATGCTGTGTTTATGGAAGGTGTTCAAGTGCCACAGCCTAAAAACCACACATGAAACAGTGAAAATAAGAACAGGAGATACTTTTCTTCGACAAAAAATGAAGTTACTTCTTTCCTTCTTCATTTCTTAAAGAAAGATCAACACAAGGAAATGGAAGTTCCCAGACTGGGAGAGAAAACACTGAGCTGGGTTCAGTGACACAGTGAAAGGATCTGAATGATAAAGAGAACAGTGAGAGTCCCAGGGTCCCCTGTAAATCCAGTTAGTGGTAGGGCATTAGAACAAGGGTGTATCAATAAACTAACCTGAAGGAAAATGACTTTAAAATTCCCTTGCATAATTTAAAAACACAATACACTCTTAACATCAGTCCAAATAATCAGTACCCATCTGCTGACCTCTGAGACACAGGCTGTGCTATGAACACACCGTACCATTGCACAGTGAAGGATCTAACACCCTGACTGTGCCAGGATACTCGGGATAATATTAGATGCTATAAAGGGATTACTGGTAGTAGCAACATGTACTATTCATTATTTTTATTTTTGTGTTCCATAGAAGTATATTTTAATATTAGCTTTTGAAATCTTCCATGCTGTAAACTCCAGGATTTTGTATTTCTAGAAAAGGAAAAACTGGGGCTGGGGATTTAGTGCAGCAGCATAAGCAGCTGCCTTGCAAGCAGGCAGTCATGAGTTCGATGCCTGGTACCAATAAAAAATGAAAAAGACAAAAAAAAAAAAAGAAAGAAAAGAAAAGGAAAAACTATAGGCATGGGAAGACATGATTCTCTTACAGAAAGTGGAGAAAAAAGAAGATGCACAAGTACGAGACGGTGGTATTATGACAGCACTGTGTCATAACACATTTTGGACATATGGCCTTATACCTGTGATTTTTGGTGAAATATTTAATGTCAACAGTCAAACTGAATGTGAACTATGAACTTTAAGTTTAAATTTATCTTGATGGGTTGCGACAGAGTTGCAATTTACAGGGATGATCTATTATGCCAATATAGGGGCAGAGGAAAAAATATACCTCTGCACTTTAAATTTTGTTGTAAATACAGATCTCTAAGTGTAGGTTTACAAGAGGCATATCTGCACCAATTATTAATATCCAATAATCTTGTTTTGATATTCTGTATAGTTTACACTCTTTTGTTTGAATTAATTCCATTTTCTTTCACTTGGATTTATTACATCTGCTCATATGCAAAGCTATTTTGAACATGACAATATAGATCATGTTAGCCATGTTGATTTCTATCATCTTGTTTAGCAGTGCACTATGGATTTCACTGTATTGTTTTGCTTAACGATATTCTGTTATACTTTGGTGCTTGTCTGTTTAAGATAAAAAGTAAAATTAACAATGATATTATCTAATATGACATTATCTATAACAATGATAAAAGATTTTAGATATTATTGCTTGGGATCCAAATAAGAGCTTCTCTGTTGCCTGGTAAATACAAAATGATGCCATAATCCACATTACTTCAGTGCACTAATTGGTGTTTTTTCTTTAAATCAGGGTTGAGAAACAGAAAAGAAATCTATAGTAGATAGGAGCTTACTTGGACATTTCTACCAAATCCTTCCAAGGCACGCTAAAGCCTGGCTGCATCTGAGGAACCTGCTCTGCAGCTAGAGACACAAAGAGGAGCATCTAGGGCAGCCTAGCCTCACACTTCTGCTTCTCTGGGAGGTTTATGTCATGGCTTGTATCACTGTGAGAACCCAACTACGATAATGCTGACAGTAATAAGTTGCAGAGTCTTCAGGCTGAAGACTGCTGATGGTGAGAGTGAAATCTGTCCCAGATCCACTGCCACTGAACCTTGATGGGAGCCCAGACTGCAAATCGGTTGCATAGTAGATCAGGAGTTTAGGAGGTTGTCCTGCTTTCTGCTGATACCAGTTTAAGTAACTACTAATGCTCTGACTGGCCTGGCAAGTGATCTTGACTGTGTCTCCCACAGATGCAGATAAGGATGCAGGTTGTGTCAGAGGGATGTCACATCTGGCACCTGAAATGGCAAACAACAAATATCTACATAGATATTCAAGACAAAATGGGACCTCCCGGAAATGTTAGGGAATTCTGAACATTCAAAGCTGAATAAATTCCTGGTGCTGCCCTTCCTTACCTGGGACCCAGAGCAGCAAGAGCCCCAGAAAGAAAATGGGAACACTCATGTCCATGCTGTGTTCTTACTGGGACTTAACTTGCACAGGGTGAGACCTATAAAGAAGTCCTCAAGCAGCCTACTGGGCTCTTGGGATATGCAAATCAGCAGGGGCAGAGGGATTTGGCCCAGCTGCAGGGCTGACCTATCTCAGTACAGGCTCCCTGTCTTCTGGGGATTTTGTCCACACCAGGGCAGCACAGATCTCCCTGCAGAGAACATGTTTCTCCTTTGGGCCACAGGACAGAAACAGGCTGCTCTGCCATGATTAGAATGAACTGCTTTTCTTTCATTTCAGGACACACTTTGTGTAAGGACAAAGATGCTGTGTTATGATCCCTTTGAGAAGGAAGAAGGAAGGGAAACACAGGGGCTGTTTCAAACTTAGGATTAAAAATGAGAAAACAAAACAAGAGAGCAGGAATTGTGAACTTGTCTGGGTTCCTCCACTCATTACCGCAGCATGACTAAGACTGCAGGGGAGGACGTGAGCAATGCTGCTGTCCAGCCCCAGGCTTCCCCCAAGCACACACAGGAGCACATGTTTTTGCCTGTCTTCCTCCAAGGGCAGTTCTAAGGCCCAGCCAGGTACCTGCTCCCCATTTTCATTGCAAGATAAGTTAGAATTACTTGAAAAATAATGCGAGAACCAGGATATATTTAAACCCAAAGCAGAACTCTCGGTGTTAGAGTAATTCTGAAGGGTGCAGCAACATGGGTAGAGTAGAAAGGAACCAACCAAATTCTTTCCTCCTGTTCTGGGAATCTCAGTACAAGGACTTTTCAAGGTTGTGCGTAAGGACTCCTGATCTCCAGAGGGATGTATTGTGCCTATGCCTCAAGTACACTCAAAGCTCTTTTTGTAAGAAATCCAGACAGACCTTTGCACCTCATCCTCCCATTTCAAGTGTATGAAAATCTTCCTCAGCACATGTGCACCATCCTCATTCCTGCTTCATCTCACTTCCACAGAGGTCACTTGAATTTCAGGATCCCTATTCCTGCCTAGACTGGAAGAGGCTCATCTGCATTTGCCATACAGAGCAGATCAGAGCTC